TTATTCTACTGAGCCATCTCCTCGGCTCCTGGATCTCCAAATTTGTTCTCCTTTGATGTTATAAACGCTGACTAGGTACCCCACCTGGCCCACAAAATCTGAGTTTAGGCAGAATGACTGGACGCTTGAGGGCTTGAAGAACAGGGCACTACTGCTCTGGCAGTGGACAGGAAAGGCAGGGAGGGCAGCCTCTCAGAAACACTGGTGGTGGAGAGTTCATCTTTTATCCAAAAAAGAACAAGCCACCTTGTTTCATGTTTATCTTGTTGAGCCCAATGGACACTTAAGTAAAAGCTGTGCCATACACTTATCTTGCATTAACTGCCTTCATTTAAAGATTACTTATGCATGTAGCCAGGTGTGTTGGCATGCCTCAATAGTCTCACCTACTCGCAGGAGTTAGTAGCCAGCCAGGGACACATAATGAGACCTCAGATTAAAAAAAAAATCTCTTATACATTGGTACAGCATAATAATATGCCAGTATAGTTTAGGAAAAATTACTTTAAAAATAGAGAAATTACAAAGCATAATACTATTATCTTTCAAAGTCCTAGCAAGAAAAGATTTTAGGTAATTCCTGTTAATGATACCAATTCCTACTTAATATTCTTGTACTAGCATTGTTAATACTAATTATTAGTTAACATTAAATGTGAATATTAGCTAATCATATATACTATTTGAGTATATAGTATTTTTTCTTAGGAATATTTTGTCATCGCAATTTTTAAAAATGAATATTTGTGCCCTCTAGTACAAAATAGTTAATATCTTTTATTTGATCTAAAACAAAACAAAAAACAGAGCCAAACACAAATACCTGAAGTATTGCAAACATCTTTTACTGCATTTAATCTATACAAGTCTAATAAATACAGAGGTTGTGACGACCAAGTGCATTCACTGCCAGCAAGCTCTTAGAAGTAGGAGTATGTACGTTGCTGAAAGCACGTCTTGGAAGTTCTTACACTTAAATGCTCAGATTGGAACAAGACACAAGCCCACAGGATAATCTAGTCTATTTTTGGGTCTAGTAGTCCCGTAAGCCCAGGATTACACCTGCGGACAATTTCAGGGTCATAAAAACCAAGGTTCAAGTTTTAATGCACATCACAACACTGGTGAAGTAGCTACAAAACCAGCCTGGCACATAAATTATAAACTGTAAGGTACACGCCATTTTGACAAAGGTACAAGAGGGTTGGCACAGTGATCAAAAGTGACTTCTTCTCACAATGTGATAGTATGGAAAATACATATTTCACTGTACACACAGGACATTGCTTTGATGTGATTACATGGGGGGAAAAGGTCAGATTTGCTTTAAAAAGAAAAAAATTCATGTTCCAATCACAGAGTCAAAGCTCATCTTAGGTCAGGCTACACAAAACTCAATGATCTTCTAAAACAATACTTGGCATTTTCTGCTTTTAACTCTAACTTCAAATTATTTCTTAAAGAAATACAAGCATTTTTATTTGGTCAAGACAAATATAATTACAAGGACAAAGTACAAAAGCCAGTGTGGATGTCCTCCTTTCTTGCCAGCACTGTGCGACATCAGGCCTCTTCTTCTTCATCACTGTCTTTCATCGTGATGCCCTGAAGCCCTCCTCCTTCAGAAACTGAGGCAGTGGCCTCTTCCACTGTGAGGCGTCTGTGCAGAGTGTCATAGGTCTTACTGTTCAGCGTTCCTTCCAATACACCCTGCAACCGAAAGTCCCTATAAGTTTTCTGGAGGAAGAAGAGAGACTTTGCTTAGATAAGTTGGATTACATGAATGCACACAGACATGAGGTGCGGCCTAAATACACAGTAAATATTTACATTGAAAAATTTATTTGCTGTGAAAAACATTGCCGTTAATCTCCCTCAAAATGCTTTCTCTCACTTTGAGCACACCCTTCCAAAGGCTCACTACTCTCTCAAGCAGTTCTGGAAGTCCCTTTTCATGTGTGTCTTTATGAAGTCTGAGCAAAAGTATGCTGAATACCACAGTTGAATAGAAAAACTATAGTGTGTCCTTGCCCATCCTTTCTACAGAACCTGGTACCATTTGACTTCCGGATCTTTGCCAAAGACAAGGTGACCATAAAAGATAAACATCTGGAATCATTTCCACACAACAAGGCAACTATAGCCACAGAACTGAAGACCCTAAGAAAAGATGACCTCCAGAGCTGCTTCAGAACGTGGCAAGGCCAGTGGGAGAGGCGTGTTTGAAGTTAGAAGTGTCTGAAGTGTATATGTTGAGGGGGATTGATGGCAATGTATCTCTCACTGTCATACACTTTTAAAATTAAGCATTCACTAAATTATTTGATCAAACCACATGTGCATAATTGTATGTAATCTATTTGGCATTTAGTAAAACATCATGGATAATCCACTAGTGCACACAGATGGTGGCTGCCTACATCGGTCGTCTTGGTGACACATTTCTGGAGTGACTGACGTGGAACAGCAGCACTCAGACTATAATCACTGTGAGCCGATCAAAATGTTGTGACTAGCGGGTGACAGAGTGAGCCCTCTCCTCAAAACACTACTAGTTGAACTGCACAGAAATGACTGTTTGAATAATCTGTAACCAAGATAAAATGGCTTATATGTGTACATACTTTAATAAGAAATCGTTAGTATTTCAACTGAGGAGTATTTACACTAACATTTCATTTTGTAAAATGCATGATTGGGGGGCAGATGTGTCAAGGGAGAGGCTAATCTTGTTATCAATAAAAGAAGTTCACACTCTAAGAGTCTGTGAATTCTTAAATGTGTTCATATATATACTGGTTAAAAAAAAATCCCCCCCATAGGTATAAACTTTGTACACTTAAATGTCTGTATAAAATCTACCCTATCTTTTTGAAATCACCATAGAAAGGAAAAGGTTGAATTCTGGCATGAAGCTTCCACAGATAGGATAATGAAGTAAGTATTTGTATTTTTGCAGAAGAATAAAATTATTCATATATTGTAATTATAATTCTTATAATAAAATAGTATACACACATTCTAAAATGTTCTTCTGTGGCACTTAAAATATGTAAGCTCTAGGGCTTTCCTTATGTTTACTTGTTAAAGAGATTATCTCCACATATTTTCCATGACTAAGGGAGACTGGTATATTATTACAAGTATTATTTTCATTTTTTAAAGTGAGGGACAAAAAAAACTAAAGTTAGTTAAATAGAAAAGCAAGGAACAAGTAGAGTTATCCTGTTGTATGCAAGCACTTTGAAGGCTTTATCAAAATTATTTTGGGGATGTCTTGTTATGTTGCCCAGACTGGCCTTGAACTCCTGGGCTCAAGTGATAGTCCTGCATTAGCCTCTGGATAACTAGCACCGTAGACCTGTGCTACCATATTCCACCTTTGAAGACCATTTTTTTTTTTTTTTGGCAGAACTGGGGATTGAACTCAGACCCTTGTGCTTGCCAGGGAAGCCCTTATTCCACTGAGCCATCTCCCTGGCCCCTTGAAGACCATTTTTAATGCTAAACATTTTTCACTAATATTCTGCGACACTAAGAATATTAAGCAGCCAGACAGAGTTCAATGTATTGCCCAAAGAATCAGTGTATATCAATTTACCAATAGTCTGCTCGTGATTGTTGTGGGTCTTCTTTAAAATAATTATTTGCACTTAATATACGATAAAAGTCAAATAAGAAGGAGGAATATTACATTTCATGTCTCAATATCCTAACCCCAGTAGCTGGACATTATCAGTTGAGAGATGTTTGATTTCGCTGAACACAACAAATTGATTTCTAATACTTCTATCATTACAGAAAATACCAGAACAAAATTCAAAGGCTTGAACTGAAGGTGCTTATTCATCTGACTTAAGAAATACCTGTTAATGCCCTCATTTAACTCATCTAGCCTCCACTGACAGCTTTCCGGAAAAAACAGACCATTATAAGGGAGTGGGAGCACCGGGATTTTGAAATTTATCATCTTGTCTTTTCTCACTTCACTAATGTTCATGTCATCATTCCAAATGCAGAAGCACCATGGAAATTGTAAGGTGAAGGATTATGTGTTTTTATCTGTACAATCATTTTATATAAATAAAAAATCATATTTGAAAAGTCCAACAATGTCCAAAACTGAATTGAACTCTGAGAAATATTCCAAACAAATATGATTTACATTGAGAATATGTTTTTCTCAAGTGATAAAAGCTATTATCACTCAAATTTAATCATGTAAGACATATTTGATCTACCAGCTTTATATTTCTATGTTGAAGAAGCTTATGATGATAAAGGCAGAAGTTTACTCTGAGTCATAAGTCATGATGACAGTGACACTGAATGGTGCCAAACTCATGGTAACTCATATCAGAACCAGTGAGGTTCTAGTGAATCTAGAAACTACTATGAATTGCATCATTACCATGGAAATTTGTGTTCAGGCCTATTATTGTAGTTAGATTAAAAATATTGTACATCAAGAACATAAAACATTTACTGACAGATGAAATAAAGTATTACTGTCTCACTGACATACATTTGTCTTTCTTGGTTTATTGGAATGACTTCATCTAGATTAAGTTGGCTAGGGCAGGTTTTAATTACAGATTTGTAATCCCAAAGGCTAATTTATATACAATTAAAGCAATGTCTTTATTCTATTAGCAAGCAACAGCCAACTCACTCTGTCTTAAATTCACAAAATGTTATCAACACTTGACTATCCTCCCTGCCATTCTCAATGGCTGCCACAATGGCATGTTGGGCTCCAAGTGCCTGCCTCAGGGTGCTGCTCTCTTGTCTTCTTTTCACCTGGCAAAACAGGCAGCTGATTTATGGTAGCTGCCCTAAATGTCCTATGGACACCACTGCGACCATAATGCAATAGCCACTCTGATGTTGAGGGGACTGTGTTCTCTCCTTCCACAAATAAATCAATCTAACATTAAAATTTCACATGAAGGGATGCAGCTCAGCGTGAAGGGCTTGAGTTCAGTCTCAACTACCACTTTTGCCACACAAAATGCTGGGCAGATATGTAGATAATTCCGTATGATAAGTTCTATGATTTATTTGTTATAGCATTCTCTTTTTGTAACCAAAAGTTTTCCATAAAGTAAT